CAATAACTACCTCCCCCATTTCCAGATCATTCTGCCACTGGCCAGAGATAAAAATTAGATCTAGTGTGTGTCCCCCCGTGTGAGTGGGGGCATGTACCAACTGGGTCAAGTCCAAGGCCGTCATGGAAGCCAAGAACTCCTGAGCTGCCGCCGACGCCTCGCCCACCGATGGCAGGTTGAAATCCCCCATGACCATAAGACTGGGGGTCGCAACCGCCACCCCGGCTATTACGTCGGCCAGCTCAGGCAGGGCTGTTGATACATAGCAGGGAGCCAGGTATATAATCAACAGACCCACTTGAACCCCTTGCCCCCATTTCACCAGGAGGGACTCCACACCGTCTATCTGAGGCACAGTGGTCTCCCTCGGACAAAGGCTCTCCCTTATAATGACTGCTACCCCGCCGCCCCTGCCCCGGGTCCTTGGCTGATGGAATGCTAAGAAACCTGGACCCTAAGAAAGGCTGAGCGCCAAAGAATGGAGGCCTTTGAACTCTGGTGCTGGAGAAGACTCCTGCGAGTCCCCTGGACTGCAAGGTGATCCAAACGGTCAGTCCTGGAGGAGATCAACCCCGACTGCTCTTTAGAAGGCCAGATCCTGAAGTTGAAACTCAAGTCCTTTGGCCACCTAATGAGAAGGAAGGACTCACTGGAGAAGAGCCTGATGCTGGGAAAGATGGAGGGCAAGAGAAGAAGGGGACGACAGAGAAGGAGGTGGCTGGATGGAGTCCCTGAAGCAGGAGGCATGAGCTTCAATGGACTCCAGAAGATGGTAGAGGACAGGAAGGTCTGGAGGAACGTTGTCCATGGGGTCACGATGGGTCAGACACGACTTCGCAACTAACAACAACAATGGTCATATAACCACAATTTTGAGCATTATTTTGCCAGAAATTTGCCTCTGGTGCAGAAGCTCCAAATGTACATGCAAAGTGACAGAATAATGATCATCGTTGTTGTTGTCGCAATACCAATAAGAGGGGGCAGTAAGAAAGATAATCGGAAGGGTAATTAATAGTTCCGCAGCCCTGCTACGTGGGTAAATACACACAGAGATTGGGTAGCACAGAGTGAAAAAGACTCAGTGGCTTCTTGGATGATGTCATGGTGTGAAGAACCCTCATCGTTGGCAACAACCGCGTAGTTTGGGGAGCGAAGTGGGTGACAAAAGAGGAGATGAACAAGTGATGGTTGCCCTACACATGGCGCACTTCTGAAAAGCTACCTCTAGGTGGCAGAAGAGTGCAACGCACCGGTTGGTTGGGGGGTTTAACTTACTCCTAAACTCCGTGTCTGTGTGTGTTGGTGTCTGTGTGTCTGTGTGTTCTGTGCGTTTTCTTGTAGCAAGACACGTGGCTGCTCCCTTCAAATCAAGGAGCTAGCCGCTCTTTCTCAATGTCGTTGGGAGAACAGACTTGGAAGGGACCTTGGAGGTCTTCTAGTCCAACCCCGCTGCTCAAGCAGGAGACCCTAGACCAGGGGTAGGCAACCTTGGCTCTTTTATGACTCGTGGACTTCAACTCCCAGAATTCCTGAGCCAGCTGTGCTGGCTCAGGAATTCTGGGAGCTGAAGTCCACGAGTCCACCCCTGCTCTTGGTCTTATTCCACAGCCCATGCTGGGGGGCTTGGCCTGCCCCTCATAGCCCCGTCCCCCCACCACCACAAATTTTGTGCTCTGATTGGGCGTTTTCTTGACTGACTGATGGTCGCTGAGGAACCTGCCTGCCGTGGGTGTCCAAGCTGGCAGAGCTTCTGCCTTGTGACCTGTGGAGCTGCCAGCCACCCCTCTTCCTCTGCGCAGAGAGGTGGGGGCGGACGGAGACAGCCACGAACCCCACCCTGCCCAGCTTGCTCCCACCTACTTGCAGTTGTCCTCCTGGCCGTGCACCGTCCAGATTGTGATGAGGGCCAGAAGGCAGGGGAGCAGCTTCCTCATCCTCCAGGTCTCTCGCGCTTGACATCATAGAATGCGCGCTGTGTGACATCAGGCAGAGAAATTGCAGTTGTCAACATTCTCGGTGGAATGTGGGGGTCCAGCCGGCTGAATGGAGGCCTTCCGGGCTGGGCTGGAGGGCCTCTGAGAGGCCAGAGCTACAGCCAAGTGCCGGGGAGAACTTCAGCTGTGCTTCACCCTACGCCGAGGCAAGATGGACGAGAAAGGCCTGGGAAGTGACCAATTGTTTGTGCTTGGTGCTCTCTGAGCTTGGCTGGGGTTTTTTTGCAGGTTTTGTGACCCAACTAGGCAACCTAGAAGGGAGGGGGGTTGGAAGAGAGGAGAAGGAGAAGAAAGAGGAGGAGGAGGAGGAGGAGGAGGAGGAGGAGGAGGAGGAGGACGACGACGACGACGATGACGACGACGACGATGACGACTATGCATCCTTGGTACTTTCTGATTTTGTTAGTTTCTTGCAAACATTTCATGGCCAAACTAGGTAACACCATCAAGGCTAGAGGGCTTATGCTCAAGTCTTCTAAGCATCGATGATGTTCCCTAACTGGGTCATGAAAGGTCTGCAAGGAAAGAACCCAGCTCGGGGAGCACCAAGGACCCCACAGTTCAACCCCGAATTACAAATATTCTTTTGTATCGCATGTTTGTATCTATAAAAATCAATTCCCTGCCCTTCTAGTTCAGATGCATCTCTTTGACGGCTTCCATCAGCATCTGCCCCCAAGTGGCTGCAGAATTGACACAGAGGTCTGGGGCTGTCTGGTTCTGCTCTATTGCAATTCCCATCATCCCCAGCCAGGACAGCCAGGTGTGAGTCATAATCCAAGATCTCTGGAAGGGGTGGATTTATTCTTTCTCCCACAATGAATCCATCTGTTTTTTGCAGAGGCACCGGCTGATGCGATGCCAGACTCAGCTTCCTGACAGAGGCTGCCTGGGTTGGCCTCTGTTGGCAGGCCAACCATGGCCACTTCTGAACCAGGGTCAGCCGGAAGAGCCTCTGTTGGCAGAGGCACCTCATGCTTCAGCTTTGAAGCAACCTGGAACTAAGGAGAAATTTCCTGACAGTGAGAACAATTAGCTAGTGGAACGGTTTGCCTCCAGAAGTTCGTGGGTGCTCCATCACTGGAGGCTTTTTAAGAAGAGACTGGACAGACATTTGTCCAGAATGGTGTAGGGCAGGGGTCTTCAAACTTGGCCACTTTAAGATTTGTGGACTTCAACTCCCAGGGCTGGCTGGGGAATTCTGGGAGTTGAAGTCCACAAGTCTTAAAGTGGCCAAGTTTGAAGACCCCTGGTGTAGGGTCTCCTGCTTGGGTAGGTGGTTGAACTAGAAGACCTCCAAGGTCCCTTCCAACTCAGTTATTCTGTTAATTCTGCTTCCTGGAGAGACAGCACTCTTCTTGGAACAATCTGAAAGAGCTGCTGAAGTTATTAGTATCATAATAATAATATTCCAATCTGAGGAAGGGTATCGGGGCAGCTAGAGAGGGATTCTTAGGTCAAGGCATGGTGCCCACCTCTGGAAAAGCATCATGGGCTCCTGAAGGACCCCTTGTGAGCCTAGAAACCATCATCCTGTTCCTCTCCCACTTCTAGGGCCCAGCAGCACCCAACTGACCTTAGCAGAGGCGCCCGGTCAATATGCAGTTGAGCATTTATATTGTTATAGTATTGTATTTTTATTGTTTGTAGGCATGGTATAGTTTTATCTTTTTAATGGTGTAAGCAGCCCACAGTAAACCCTGTGGTAAGATGGGCGGCCAATAAATTTAATAATAAATAAAATAAAAAAATAATAAAAAAAATGTGGGTCCAGGCTCAGATTCCCTAGAGAGACAATTTTGCAAGCAGATGCATATTCTCACCATCCTCTAGCACAGGGCTTTTCAACCTTTTCACTCATTGTACCACGTTTAGGATATGGCAACATCCGAGTACCACCATTCGCCTAGCAAGGTGTCAAAAACTTGATGACCCCCCCCCCAAAAAAGGAAAAAAAGTGATAAAGCACAGATAGTCCTTGACTTACAACAGTTCGCTTAGTGACTGTTTGAAGTAGTAATGGCACTGAAAAAAGTGCCCCCCAAGCCACAGCTGAGCAAGACACCTGCCTGCCCGCCCGGCTGCACTCTTCCTCCTGTCCGAGGTTTCCATTGTTGTGAGCATTTCTGTTGAGGATTGGCAGCGGGGGTGGGGTGGGGGGTGTTTGGTTTTTATCCCCCCCCCGTCTGCTGGGTGGTTGCAGCAGGTTTTGGTCACTTCACATGACCCTGGGACACTGTGACCGTCAAAATATGAATCAGTGGCCAAGCATCTGAATGTAAATCACAAGACCCTGGAGAGGCTGCAACATTCCAGCTGATTGGTGCTTCTTCTGGGCTCAGCAGAAGTTCCAGGATCAGCGCCGAGCTCCATCTGGATCCTGGTGCTGATCCTGGCGCTTCCACTGAGCTGACAGCCCCGAAGAAGCGCCGATCAGCTGGAAAGTGGCACTGATCCTGGTGCTTCCGCTGAGCCCTGACAGCCCTGCAGCTCCAGCCGTCTTTCGCTCAGGCTTGTGCGGTGCTGCCCCCGGTTCAGCTCATTCCCCTCCCCCACTACCACTTTTCTAGGATGGTCGCGTACCCCCTGCCAGGTACCAATGTACCACAGGTAGTACCCATACCACTGGTTGAAAAGCCCTGCTCTAGCACAGGGGTCCACAACCCCTGGCCCATGGGCCAATACTGGGCTGTGGCCTGTTCACAACTGGGCCACACAAATAGTCAGCAGTCTTCAGATTTACCAGGAAGAAAAAGGATTCTTGGCACTTCTCCTGACCTTTTTAATCATCTTAACCATCCCAAAGCCCTCGGTGAAACAAATGAAGCCAAGGCAGAGAGTTTATTTGCTTGGTGTACTGACCATTCGGTCAGATGTCCATGTGTTATAGTGATGTCCAGGGCTGAAGGGGTCACCTTTGTCCAAAGATGCTCATTAAAAGATCTGTTCCTGACCACCTCAAGTTGAACATCTGCCATAAGTTGTGCTTTCCCATCATCACTGCACCTTTGGGAACACACGAAGGATGGGGACAAATAATTGTGTTGGGGAAAGGGCCGGCATCTGCTCCTATGTGTGTCCTCAGATGCAACTGGCCAGTTGAGAGTCAAGATACTGCTTTGGCCAATGGTCACAAAAGATGACCATGGACCTTGGAGAGAAAGTTTAGGATCCAGCCATGCATCTATGATAAGTGAGACATGAGCATTCATTTTGCAGAGTATCTGCAGATTCCCAGATGCAATGTTACTTTCAGAAGATGGATGAAGAACATCAGTTTATCTAGACCAGGGGTCTTCAAACTTGGCCCTTTTATGACTTGTGGAATTCAACTCCCAGAATTCCTCAGCCAGGCACAGGAATTCTGGGAGTTGAAGTCCACTTTAGTATTTTCCCCGTGTAAACATCTGGGGACTAGATCTTGAAAGTTTAAAGTCGACGGAGATCCCCTTGGATACCCCTGAAACCTTTTACGAACCAGGGAGACGTCATCATCTGTGTGTTAGGTGTTTCTCCGCTGATCCGTTGATAAATCCCCCTTAAACCTGCTCCCACTTTTCCCGAAGTCTCACTTTTCCCGATCTTTGGATATTTATGGATCCTCCAATAAAATAGCTCTGACAGATCTATGGAGTTGCAATGTCATCTTCTATATTGGGGTGGGGAACTTTGGCCCTTTTATGACTTGTGGACTTCAACTCCCAGAATTCCTGAGCCAGCTATGCTGGCTCAGGAATTCTGGGAGTTGAAGTCCACAAGTCATAAAAGGTGCAAGGGGTTTCTGTATACAGCATCAGCAAACTGGTGAACTTTGGTTATCTGATCTTCTTCTGATAGACACATTCCAAATTTGCTTTTACTCCGGGGGGCCTATAGCGAGATTTATCTCCAGGGTTACTGAGAGGGCTTAGAGCTGTGGGCCTGATTTGGGGGGAACCGCGTGCGGGTTCTAAGGCGAGCATTACCTCCAGAGAGAAGTCTAGAAATTCAAGGGATGAAGATGAAGTTATAGGAGGGATGAATGCAGAGGGCACAAGGATGCCCGGTTCTGTCTCTGGGGAAAGACACGCCCTGGCTTTCAACAACTGGAGATGGACAGTGTTCTCATTTGGCCTTCTGAAAAGGTTTGGAGAGGGTCACGTTCTGCTAGGTGAGTATCTAGTACGATGCACGGCCATCATTTCTGGATTCAGAGGGGATGATGAAGAAACGTCTGTGGGCAGAAGCACTCTGCCTATCTCATAAGTGGTGTCAGGGGCTGCTGGAAGGGATTCTTCGGGCAAAAGGACGTGGTCCACTTCTGGAAGCTCAGTCGTAGGAAAGTAGATCAGGTCCTCCGTCAAATATTTCTCGGGGAACTGTGTCAAGGCAACTTTGAAAGCTGGGAACATTGTCGCGTGTTTAGCCCAAGCTTTGTTCGAGGGTCTCTTCCCCCGGAGAAGCACCCCTTCCATCTTCACCACTTCCCCATGGATCCATTCAAGGAAGGGCTGTGTGGAAGTGTAGATTTCTGGGTTGGTTCCCTCGCCGCAGCCCTTGCCCCAGCTGGTGATCCCAACCACGTAGAAGGGAGAGGTGGGGGAGGTCTTGCACATTAAGGGCCCCCCACTGTCCCCCTGTGGAAAGAAAGAGAGAGAGAGAGAGAGAGAGAGAGAGAGAGAGAGAGAGAGAGAGAGAGAGAGAGAGAGAGAGAGAGAGAGAGAGAGAGAGAGAGAGTCCCCTTGGGTGAAGGAAAACTACAAGGCATTGTGTGCAGTATCTTCTGCTTGCTGTGGTGGTGTCCACAAAATACCTCCACACTATGAGCCAGCGGAAGGGAGAAACCAGGAGATGCTAAGAGATCCAGTGAACTATCACTGGATGAAAAAGTAGTTCCTTACTTGGCAGGTGTCAATGCCTCCGTCCTCGTATCGAGCGCACAAGGTGTGAGGGCTTATGGCCCCATTGTACCACCAGCTGCTGTTGCATTTGCTGGTCTCCAGAATCTTCACTCTGGATTCCTGCAAGATAGCAGAGGTCTTCCTGCCTGGAGCAAAAATTACAGATTAGCTGGATGTTGTTGTTTTTTCTGAGGATTGCTCTTCATAATTCTTACTTCTGTAAGAGCCTTCTGCCTCCTTTCACCCTCCGTCTCCCCCCGTTTTCCAGCCTGAATCCTAGGTAGCTGAGAGAAAGCCAAATGAGCTGCAAGTCCAGTGGTGGGGTTCAAATACATGAACAACCGGTTCTCTGTGTGGATGCCGCTTCTGGAAGTCCGTTCTGGGCTTGGGCAACCAAAAATTAGCTCCCGGTTCTGCCAAAGTGGTGCGAACCGGCTGAATCCCATCTATCTGCCTGCCTGCCTGCCTGCCTGCCTGCCTGCCTGCCTGCCTGCCTGCCTGCCTGCCTGCCTATCTATCTATCTATCTATCTATCTATCTATCTATCTATCTATCTATCTATCTATCTATCTATCTACAGTGGTGGAATTCAAAGACGTGAACAACCGGTTCTCTGTGTGGATGCCGCTTCTGGAAGTCCGTTCTGGGCTTGGCCAACCAAAAATTAGCTCCCGGTTCTGCCAAAGTGGTGCGAACCGGCTGAATCCCACCACTGTGCAGCAAATCTACAATAATGTCACAACCCCAGCCTTGACCACCCACTTCCTAAAAGGGCCATAATGTTAAGGCAGGAGCCTGAACTAGCAGAGAAGGCAGGACTGCTCAAAAGATAAACCACCACCCGTAGCACAAACAGCATTTTCTAAAGGTTGGAGTTGGTTAACAAATTGGCTTCCCAATTTTGGATGGTTAAAACAAATATTTATAGGACTAGTGTTTATAGTTGTGATAGGTATCATGTGTTGTGTTTGTCTCCAATGTTTACCCTGCTGTATTTCATTTTGCACCAAATCACTGGGGTCAGTAGCGAAAAGCATCTCTGGGGAAGATGTACAGATTCAATTTATGTTATCTAACATAGCCAAAAATGAAGATTCATCAGAGTATACAGAGATACAGGGTGGATTGATAAATATGTATCAATATGATGAATCTTCAGAGTCAGTTAAACCTACAATACAGTGGAAACTAATTGAATAGAAAAACAAGTACAATTGGTGGGATTCAGGAAAAGATAACATAAAGGAAGTGACTTATGACTTGTGGACTTCAATTCCCAGAATTAGCAGAATAACTGAATGACAGAGTTGGGGAAGGGGCCTCGGAGGTCATCTAGTCCAACCCCCTGCTCAAGCAGGAGACCTTATACCATTTCAGACAAATGGCTGCCAGTCTCTTCTTGAAAGCCTCCAGTGATGGAGCACCCACAAATTCTGGAGGGAAGCTGTTCCACTGGTTAATTCTCCTTAGTTCTAAATTGGCTCGCTTACATACCTCTTCACTTACCCTTCTGGGTGGTGGTGCGCCAGCCACTGACGTAGCAGTCTGAGAACAAGGCTTCGGAGTCCATGGGGCTGTGCGGCAAGCAAGCGGGTTGAACATAGTCATCAAAAGTCACCGGGCTGCTGAGTTCTACCAGCGCAATGTCGTTGACCTTGCTCTGTGGATTGTAATTCTGGTAGGGGACGATGCGGGACACGGAACGCAACTGCACGGTGTCCAGCAAATTGGAAATGTCCGTGGCGCCGATGGCGATCCTCTGGGGTCGCGACAATCTGTGAGCAGGGGGCCAATGGATGTTTCAAAATCAGCTCTCCAGGTGAGCATCAAGCTTCCAGTCGATCTAAACCAGGGTTCTTCAAACGTGGCCCTTTGATGACTTGTGGACTTCAACTCCCAGAATTCCTCAGCCAGGCACGCGTGCCTGGCTGAGGAATTCTGGGAGTTGAAGTCCACAAGTCATCAAAGGGCCACGTTTGAAGACCCCTGATCTAAACCAAGGGTCCCCAAACTTGCCGGCTTGGTGGCCCAATATGGGGAGAGGGGGAATTGCTCCGTGCGAGTAGTAGGTGCACAATAGCACGAGCACAACTCCAGATGTTCCCCTTCATCTGCCTCCAAGTGGCAAACTCCAAACCGAGTCACCCACCCACCTCTGGTCTTGCAAGGTACTCTGGGGCTGCCAGATGTTGGCTCCTTACCTCTTTCCCGATGCGAAGCAATGAGCAGCCGTGAGCACCCAGTGGGGGGTCAGGAGGGACCCCGCACACAGGTGCTGAGGTCCCCTGGAAGACGGCGCCTGGATGCTGACCAGCCACGGCCAGGTGCCAGGCAAGGCGTTGATGCCCCCCATGATCTGTATGTTGTCACCCGGGTTGGGGGCCAAAGGTCTCCCCCCACAGGCTGAGGGGAAACAACAAGGCCAGGCATCAGTTGTGGTTTTGGGTGGAAACACGGGTGGTCCTCTACTTACGACCACAATAGAGCCCAACATTTCTGTTGCTAAACAAGACAATTGTCAAGCGGGGTTTGCCCCATTTTGTGACCTTTCTTGCCACAATTGTGAAGCGAGTGACTGCAGTTGTTAAGTTAGTCACACGGTCATTAAGTGGGTCTGGTCGGAATGTCACAAAAGGGGGTCACGTGACCCCAGGATACGGTGACTGTCGTAAATACGAGTCAGTGGCCAAGCATCCGAATTTTGATCCAGGTGACCAAGAGGATGCTGCAACGGTCGTAAGTGTGAAAAACGGTCATGACCCTTTTTTCAGTGCTGTCGTAACTTTGAACGGTCACTAAATC